GAGCGCCGGCAGCTACAGGGAGGCCCGGACCAGCAGCAGTGCCAGCATGGACACCTACCCCTACGGGCTGCCCACCCCGCCTGAGATGTCCCCTCTGGATGTGATCGACCCGGAGCAGAGCTTCTTCGCCTCCCCCTGCCCGGAGGAGCATCACCACCCCCGTATGACGGGGGCCCCTTTCTCATCAGAGTACTCAACCAGTCCCCTCCTGTGTAACCACCACCCCCTGGGCCCCATGTCTATCCCTCAGCCCGGCACCCCCATGATCTCCCCTGCCTCCAGCTGCCCGCCTCCGCCTCCCACCTACTACCCACCAGCCTTCCACCCCGTCCACCCGCCCAGCCTCCATGCCCACCTCGGCCCGCTCTCCCCACCCCCCGAGCACCCCAGCTTTCTCAGCCTGGACCAGCTGAGCCAAGCGGAACTTCTGGGGGAGATGGATCGCAATGAGTTTGACCAGTATCTCAATGCGCCCAGCCACGCAGACCACGGTGGGGCCATACTGAACAGACACGGGCAGGTGCCTCCGGTCGCGGGGGGTTCGCCCTCTGCAGAAACTAGCCTCATCTCCGTCCTAGCAGATGCCACTGCTATCTCAGCCTGGACCAGCTGAGCCAAGCGGAACTTCTGGGGGAGATGGATCGCAATGAGTTTGACCAGTATCTCAATGCGCCCAGCCACGCAGACCACGGTGGGGCCATACTGAACAGACACGGGCAGGTGCCTCCGGTCGCGGGGGGTTCGCCCTCTGCAGAAACTAGCCTCATCTCCGTCCTAGCAGATGCCACTGCTACCTACTACAACAACTACAGTGTCTCCTAGGCCAGCTGGAGGCTGGGGACAGACCTGACAGTATTAGTGGCATGATTCCGTGTCCACGCCAACCGAGGGACCCCACGCTCCTTGGGGTTGCTCGGTCAGAACTGAAACGACTTTTGGAGCCTCCTTTCTGTGGATTTTTGCTTATCAGCCATCCACTGGCCTAACTATTGAGTATCCTGCTTCGAAAGGTATTTGATATCCCGCGTCCGTAAAGGTCTGTGACCGTGTCCCTCTTCCAAGCCAGCTGGTCACGGCTTACAACCAAGTTATTGTATAAGCACGGCAAGTTCTTTGAAAGATGGGTCTGATTTTTCAGTGATGCTGAGGCCCAGCCAACTTCTTGGATGGGGCTAGAGCTTTCTCAACTCCAGCTGTAACCTGTGGGGACTGATTCGCAGCCCCTCTGAAAAATCAGTCTCCATGCCTGGTTCTGTGTGGCACTGACCTGTTGTGGTAGGGAAGGGGAAAAGCATAGATGTGGCAAATACGTATGTAACTCTCTGGTCAGTGTGCGCCGTCACCTGCACTTGCTGGCAGAACGGGGCTTGGCCGCTCGTAACGCGTGTTTAGTAGTTCAAGTGTCCAGCCTTGTTCCCAGAAATTGAGGGTGGCTGTCACCAGCAGCTACAGCTGTACAGAGCGAGTAAGCTCAGGTGATCAGACGTGTCCTGTTCTCACATAATTACCCTACAGCTTTAACCAAAGACAGCTGTGTGGCCTTCGTCATCGCCGTGTGTTTTCTGTTGGCCGGGTCTTGCATTCCCTATGTGCTCAAAAGTTTCACTAACGTGGCTGGGAGATTTTGAGTGCGCTAGCATAGGGAATGCGAGGCCGGTGAAGTCACTCGACTTGCAGTCCCTAACGCCGGCAGCGTGTTCCATCCTGTGTACACACAGGTCTTGGATCGGGTCGGTTGAACGCCCGGCCCGGCTCTGCATTCCTTTGGCTCCCGGAACTTTTTGTGGATTTCAGTGGGAATTCTGAGAGTGTACGGAAGGATTTCAGAGGGAAAGATCTGGTCGAGGGTGCCACCCTGGTATCCTTCCTGCCCCAGACAGCATGATCAAGAGGGGAGGTTTGAACTGTGGGGCGGTGACGTGGTCTTGTGATAATGGACTGACTGGCTGCTCCATCATTCAGGTGTCAGCCGAGTTTCTGTCTGACACTGAATTTTGCGCAGTCTGTACCATTTAGTTTGACTCCTCTACAGAGTTTCACTGGGCTCTGACCCTGCTTACAATAGGAGCAGGATAAATCCCTTCCTGAGTCACTACAAGTAACTTCCCATGTACGGAGACAGGCTGGTGGCCTTTGGAGCATCTACTCTGAAGGCCAAGACCCTGGGTGATCATGCTGGTGAACTTAATATCCCTTCTTGGTCCCTCTACCTGCCCCCACAGCTGGAAAGAATTTATTCTGATGAGCACTTTGGAAGAGAGGTGATATGTAGCAGACCCGTTTGTATCAAGCACCATTTGAAGGCAAATACTTAACGTTTAGAAATGAAATGCCCGTTCCTCGTTACTTCAATATATTATTGCTTGTACTAAATCTGTGCATCAATTTGTATGTTCCATTATTTCCCCTTCCTATTTTGTATTGCTAGAGTTTTTGCTCTTTTTTTCATAAAGATGACATTTTATTTTACATCCGTTATATAACACGATTAATCTTAGCATTACTGTATGACACTTGGTTATGATTAGTTAGTAGAGCGGTTATGATTTTCTGGTTTCAACCCTGAGCACCTAATTAATTGCAAATAATAATATAATTGCAAATCATTTTTAAAACGACCAGGTTTTAAGCTAATACTTTCCATCCTTTTTTTCCCATGTGTGGCTCTTCTGCATTTTGAATGCGTGTAGATATGCGTTTGCATAAAATATTTAATTTAAATAAATATGTTTTTATACAATGACTGTTTTTATCATTTAGATGGCTGTAGTTCTGTTCAAAGGGGAAACATTTATTGTGCTCGATGTTACGTTTTGTTTTGTTTGTTTTAATTTCCAGCCAAACTTTTCTACAGGAGTGGTTGTTTTTTTTTTTAAATAAAAAAGCCTCTGGCTATCTTTAAAAATTGTGGAATACTTTATCTGAGATTAATTAAAGTCACAGTTTAAAATATCTTTACTCTTCCCGATGTATAGAAGTCTCTTTTAGGGTGTGCCTACACCGCATCGTAGGTCGAAATAAGATACGCAGTATGAGCTACGCAAGTTGCAGATCTTACTTCGATCTTATTTCAATATAGCTTATTTCGAAATTTGGCACCGTCTATGCAGCACTTATTTTGAAATAAAGCGCTGTTCCAAAACGTCCCTGACTCCTCGTGCAATGAAGTTTACAGGGATGTCGGAATAGCGAGCTCCTCATATTTCGAGATAACGGGGGTGCTCAAAAGAAGTAACACTGCAGTGTAGGTGTAGCCTGAGACACCTGAATGTGCATTTCTTGCTTATCCAACATACCCTTCAATAACAGGAAGAGTTTTGTATAGGCAAGGATTGCAGGATCCAATCTAGGCATGATTTTAGGGCCCACTGATGTGAATTGTGAGTTTACTATTGACTTGGGACTCGGTGTTGTCCTCAAAATGTGGACTGTTTTGCTGAGTATAATGAGTTAATAGGGCATGATTCTTACCTACACTAAGGACCCTTTACACTAAATATTTACACTCCTTATCAACCCTCTTTACATTGCCAGAGTGATGTAGAGGGGCAAAGGTGTAAATGGGAATTGGGACAAAAATCCTTAAAGTGGTCTGTTAACCAGGTGTGAAAGAGGGGGCTTTAAATACCCCAGTGCTGCCTGGTGGATGGGTTTCAAAGTATCACCCCGACACATTTAGGGTGCAGAGTTATACAGAGAGAGACGGATTCCACTGTGTAACTGGTGCCCTTGGAAAGATTTTAAGTTTGGATCCGAGGCCTCATACACACCTGAACGGCCTCTTTTTGTTCCCCACTGATCTATGGCAAGCCCCTTCCCTGCCATATCTTGTGAAGGGTGAGTCTGTATTTAGGGAGGAGCAAGTCTTGGGGGGGACCCAAACGTGTCAATTTCTCACCAGCTCTACGTGCTCTGGACCAGTGTGTGTCAAACTGTTTTTTGATAAAGTACCCCTTTAAAAAAAAAAGTACCCCCAGTACCTACAGTTTTCAGACACACAATGTTTTTTTCTACCATTGCAACACATTTGTTTAAACAACTTAATCGTAGCCGGGCAGGCAATGACATTTTTGGGTGTAAAAGGTACAAAAATAATAAAGTGCTGTAAAATTTAACACAAATTCAGTTTTCTCCAAGTTTCAGTGGTGTTGATGTATCTCCCCTCCTCCCACTCCCCCCCCGGACTTCCCTCAATTACCCCCCTAAGGCTACTTGTACCACTGGTTGAGAAACACTGCTCTCAACCATGCATTCTTTTTTTGTGATGCTGTACGATCTAGACCCTCAGGCCAGAAGGATGACCAGCACTATGTAAAACGACATAGAAATACTTAAAAAACGAATAGTCTTGCAGCACCTTAGAGGCTAACAAAAAATGAAGATGGTATCATGAGCTTTCCTGGCCACAACCCACTTCGTGAGTCCACAAAAGCTCATGATGCCATCTGCATTTTTTGTTAGCCTCTGAAGTGCTGCAAGACTTAGTTTGTTTTTTTCCAGTTACAGATGAACAAACAGGGTCAGCCTTGTGAGCCTTTTTAACACACAGAAATACATCGCTCACTGGCTTAGCCTCCTCTTTTGTTTCTGTACCTCGGCACACACACACGTCTATGTCTCTGATGCATGTGGGTTGCTCGCATGAGTTTTGATGGGCATTCGGGAATTAAGATTCTTCACTCAGTCTTTCAAGGACTCAAGGAAACTCTGGCCTGGGCCACATTTTGTGCATTCAAGGGGTTTTGAAACGACGTGTGAATTAACCCTCACAACACACCCGCAGAGCTGAACGTACTCATCCCATTTTACAAGTCAGGAAACTGAGGCACGGAGGAGTTAAGTGACTGGCCCAAGGTCACATGGTGAGTCAGGAGCAGAGTCCCATGTCTCTGACTCAGTCCCATGTCTCCGGACTCCTATTTCCATGCCCCACCCTCCCTACCAGGCTGATAGGGGATGACTTCAAAGCACGAGAGCGCCCGAGCCATAAAAGGAAGTTTCTATTTAATAAATGTGGATCGATTCCAAATTCATAGAGTAGCTGGGAAATGAACTCAAACAGCACAGTCCAATCTGGCGTTGGCTTTTAAATCCCCCAGTTTGATCCCGGCGTTCTATTCCGCTTCCTGAACAGATGAGAGGAGACATTCAAAATGTAGGTGGGACTTTCAAATGCGCAAGTTCCACTGATTTGCAAAGTGACGTCTGTTCCTCAGATAGGTGCAGCTGCAAAACTCATGGGCTGAGTCCCAGTGAAAGGCAGCAGGGTGGCCTCACTGCTTTTGGAAAGTTTCCCTGAGGTCCTCCAGTAGAAGGAGTCATGCATTTGGGACTGAAGATTGAGGGTTTCATCTTTGCTTTCCGATCTAGCAGGGCTGGTTACGGTAGCACCCGGGCCCGTACCCTCATCCTATTGGGCCACATGCAGCTAGCTGTTCGGTCCTGATACCAGCCCCCGAACAGCTTGCCATCTGGTTGAAGAGCAAAGCAGCCGCCTGATTTCTCCTCCTGTCTCATAGGCTATGTCTAGACTGCAAGCCTCTTTCGAAAAAGCCTCTTTCGAAAAAGAGCGTCTAGACTGCAAGCAGTACTTTCGAAAAAGCAAGCCGCTTT